ATTCATTAATGGAATATCTCTGGAAACAATTAAGGGTAAATGCATTATTCCCCTCGATATCGCCCTTTTTACTGCAGCTCTATTTTCTACTACGAGCTCGGTTATGCATTTGGTAGCCGTCAGCATTGACCGAGTAATTTCAACAGTCAAACCTCATCGTCACCGAGAAATTATGAAGAAATGGTACAAGATGATGTTGGTCATTTGTTGGGGTACTGCTATTGTACTAGCCGCGACTTCACTCGTCGAACGGAAACTGGTAATCGCGGTCATTCAGTCCATTATCATGATGTGTGAGGTTGTCATGATTTGCTCATATGCGATAATCCTCTACAAGGTGAAACGTTCTCGGCATCAAACTACAGTAGCATATTCAATGTCACCGTCTGCAGCAAGTGAAAGAGCCAAGGAGAATCGATTGTCTGGCACAATTGCAATCATCATAGTGCTGTTTACTGTTTSCTGGTTCCCTTTTGTCTTCTTCCGATTCATGCATCGTGATGCCGGCTTTCTTTGTCAATATGATGCGAAAATTGGTTGGGTTCGAACTCTGTTGCTTGCCAACTCTTCCATGAATTTCATTGTGTACAGTCTAAGAATCCGTCAATTCCGAGCTGCATACATGTCAATCATCAACAGGATAATGCAACCSTTGGGGCACGTTTTTGGAAGAGGCTTTTGTGTTAGACCAACACAACAAARCACCAGGATCAATGAAGCTTCTGTTGTTACATTATCAACATGCAAACAAGTCAAGTTTGTCAAATGAAATACAAGAAGGCCAAGAAGTGAGGGCAGGAAGTACAGGGGCGTATCCAGGGGAGGGTCACAGGGTGCCCGTWAAGCAAAAGCACTATTTCTTGACATTCCACTTTCTTTAATCTTGTTCTATTTACTGGATGAAAAAATAAAGACGAAACAAGAAGATGTTGTCAGTTGAACAAAGCTATCAATTTATCAAGCTCCGGTCTTCTTGCACATCCAGTCCACTTCGCCGACCAAAAACGATGGTGAATAGCCGAACCACGAATGAAGTTCGAAAACCTCACGAGAACATTCGATTACCTACGAATCAAATCCGAAAACTGATCCGACATGTTATGGGAATAAATGACTGAAAAACGAAAACGTCAGTACCATTTATAATTTCGCTCTCTAAATTATAGACGAACTACTTCTAAGTGAAAACAACGCTCKTTTGCACCGCTACATTATCCGCCATTGTGGTGACTACGTGATTAGCATAAAAAACAGGAAAATACTAATAACCACAAACCTAGTTAAATTTGTGAATTTAAAGTCGAACGGACATTATATTAAAGAAGAAACAAGAAAATAACGTTTAAAACGATCCCAAGTTCAACGAAGGTCAAACTCAGGCCTTAACATACTTGAGAAAACATTTCCCAATGTTTGAATTGCCTGATAAACACTCGAGGAATAAGTGGTAGAATTCTTATCTGCTATGCAAACCCTCGACGATATATYAATATGATGTTGCGCCACTGTGATCTTGATTGGCACCTATCAGCARTTATTTGTATTACCACTTTAGAGTTAAATACCGTTAATATCCCATATCTATATATTGTAAGGCGTATTCAGCTCATACAAACTAGATTGCCTGCAGAGGWCACACGAATTACCCGGTTTAAAAATTATAGTAGCACTTCTATTTCCATCATAACTACGATGACAACTTTTGCAGCCGTTTCGAACGAAATTGAGGTGGATGAAGCACAAGCAATAGCCTTGGTTATCATTAACGCATTGCTTGCCTTTATTGGAACATTTGGGAACTTTCTGATAATCTTCGCTGTCTTGAAAACCCSTCAGCTTCGTCAAAGACCGTCCAATCATCTTCTCTTGAGTTTGGCTGTAGCAGATTTGGTAGTGACTGTGATATCACAGCCAGTGTTCATTACTGAAACAGCTCTGATAACATTTAAAGACAGATGCATTATTCCTCTTGAGATAACCCTTTTTACTGCAGCGATGTCTTCTACTACGTGCTCAGCATTGCATTTGGCTGCCGTCAGTATTGACCGAGTAATTTCAGTGGTCAAACCTCATCATCATCGCGAAATCATGAAGAAATGGTACAAGATGATGTTGTTCATTTGCTGGGGGACGGGTATTCTACCTGCGAGTTTGCGCGTTATATTTCCAGAGGTAATCAGGGTCAATCTAGCTCTAATCATGATGTGTGGGGTTGTCATGATTGGGACATATGCGGTTATCCTCTACAAGGTGAAACGTTCTCATCAAATCGCAGTACCATCTTCAATGTCACCGTCTGCAGCAAGTGAAAGAGCCAAGGAGAATCGCATGTCTGGTACAATTGCAATCATAGTCGTGTTGTTCGCTGCCTGTTGGATTCCTCTTGTCGCATTCAGCTTAGCGCATCCTCAAGCAACTCTGCTTTGCAAATATGA